GCCATCGTACTGTGTATGACTTGCGAGGTCGTCTACAACAAACTGGCACCACTTCTGATCGCCCAAGGTCGGGTCGTCCACGTGTGACGTCACGAGCAGAAAACCGTCAAATCGTCCTACGTCACCTACGTGACAGATTTCTGCCGGTTACACGAACCAGGGCTGAGATGTTTAGACGTCGACTGTCCTCACAGACCATTCGAAATCGGTTGCGAGCTGCCAATCTCCATTCTCGACGTCCATATCGTGGGCCAATATTGACGCCGTTTCATCAACGTCAACGTCTGCTGTGGGCCCAACGTCACCTCCGATGGACCCAGAGAGACTGGAATCGAGTCGTCTTTAGCGATGAATCCAGATTTACCCTCAGATTCGCGGACGGCAGGCATAGAGTCTGGAGACGACGTCGTGAATGGTATGCCCAATGTTGTGTACAGGAAGTCGACAGATTCGGGGGCGGAAGTTGCATGGTGTGGGGTGCTTTCTGTGGGAACAACCGTTCTCGACTTCTGGTTTCTGGTGGAAACCTCACAGCTGCTGCTCACCGCGACCAGGTGCTAACCCCTGAACTCGTTCCTTTCATGGCGGCTCATGGCCCAGGTCTACAGTTCCAGCATGATAATGCTCGGCCGCATACCGCGATGTTGACACGAAATTGCCTTCAAAACGCTGGGATCAACGTCATGGACTGGCCATCGAGGTCCCCTGACCTTAATCCAATAGAGCACGTTTGGGATGCACTTGGGAGAAGGCTTCGTGGTCTTCGGAACCAACCTCAGAATTTGCAGGAACTTGGCGCTGCCTTGCAAGAGCAATGGCGCAGAATCCCCAACCACGTGTTCACAAGCATCAGGCAGTCGATGAGGAGACGGTGTTTGGCAGTGGTGAATGCGCGGGGCGGCCATACACGATATTGAACTGAGAAATTTCGCATTTTTATTCTTGTGACTTGACATTCTGTATACCAATGTTTTGGAACGGCGGTGTAGCCTAATGGAACTGATTATGGCACTGTCAGTGTATCGAGTACATCACACAGATCTCAGCAATGAAATAATAACAATTTAACCATCTTACCATCTCTTGTTCTTTTATAGTGCCCTGAAGAAAGAATGTGAAGTTTCTTTTTTGACTCAGTATATAATAGTTCAGGGCGAAAGTGTGTTTTATTTCACTATACATGATGGTAGAGCGAACTGTATTTCTTTTCTAAGGTGCCAAATTTAATACTTTCTAAGCATAATTACGATTAATTTAAGGCAGAAAACAAACGACGGTGTCGGTGACCTAAATTAAGAATCCTCGCACAGGGCTAACTGGCGCGCTGTTCTATTAATGTGTCTGACCCCCCTACGTTAAGACGAACGTTACCAGAAAAATACAAATGAGAACAGTTTGATGACGGTTTACGTTCGGATTAAATATCTTCTCTGAATTATTTTAATTACATCTGTCATTAACGTAAACCATATGGGCAATATGAACGTTGCATTTCTACTACCAGCGTAAGTTTAGATCAGTACATCCAGAGGAAGTTGAGTAGTCAAGCGACATTCCACAATTGCATTGTGGGAATGTAAACATTACGAACGTTACCGTGTCGCTGAAAACTTGTGAGTCGAAATGACACATTTTAACCGTCGTAAAACATAAACGTAATGTTTCCACCAGTGATGTTAGCTGCGTGAAGCAACAGCAAACCAAGAAACTGGATGCAACGGTGTAGTTTACTGTAGGAGGCCGTACGAGGCGATGACAACTGACATGCATCGTGACGTCGCTTAACCCCCTGGATGCCACAGGGACATATATGTCCTTCCCCTTCAACCCTCAATTTCAAGTCAAATAAAAATCAAAATATCCCACGCACACAAATACACTTCACAGTTTCGAATTCTTCGCGAAATTTCCTGTTTCTTGATACCATCCACTATTATTTTAGACAAAGTTCAAGTGCTGAAAATGACCTTTCAAAATAGGCTTCATCGAAAATGTCGCCATTTTTGACACAGTACGAAAACGCGATTCACAGCGTTATTTGCTGTATGTTTTGAAATGTGAAAACCGGATAATTACTGGGAGTATTGAATTTCAAAAATAACATATTCATGATCACTCATATCAGTTTTACATGAAATCGCTACGTAAAATTCTGAAACGTTGCCGATGAATCTAGAATCGGTTGGGATGTTTTCGAAAATGCACTTACACGAACGCCGTAGAGCGCTTTCCGCCATATTGGATAGTGTTTACAAAATCACGTTTCGCGAAGGCCGATATTGAGACGCATATTACAGCACGTATATTTCATATTCAGCTTCGAAAAATGCATCAATAAACTCCCCATACATTTTAGACTCAAACTGCAAGTGGTCTTTGTCACCAATGCCAACTGTCTAGATAAAATGAGACGAAACATATTTGGTGTTAAAACGAACGCTGTGCTCGAAAGACTGAGCTGGTGCGAAATGTAAACAAAGACAAAAACCTATTTTACACTGTGTAGCATTTTCTGAAATTTTCCAACATTCATCCGTCTATTCATTGCTTGCAATGGCTCAATACCTTTGGAATATGCATGGAAAGAGTATCGTAGCGAGAAATAGGAAATTATAAATAGATACAATGCAATGATTTGATAATTCATAAGAAATTGTCAAAGTTTCCGTGCAGCGTGACGCCATGACTGACGGAAAATCACGCAGAACGACAACGGTAATTATCTGGATTTCTGTCTTTTTCTCTTACTTTTAGTGAAAACGATAAAAACATATAACAATACACAGATAGTCAGAATCATTCTGATTACTTACATCTCATATTTATGGACAAACGATCCCTGAATCAATGGAAGGGTCCTCGCAAAATCCTGTGTACCCTTGTCAGCAAAGCCGCCATTTTGTAAGAAATCGGTCAGCGGTAGTGATGTCATACGTCAACATTGTTCTACATATTAGACAATTTCTTTGTGGTGAAGGTCGGTTGAACAAGAGTAAACACAATCGCCCAATCCTTCCGATTACACTGTCAGTATTATGGTGTATATTTTGCGTATAGTTCAGATACTTTTTTCATGAAACTGACTTCAGTATCCACATTTAGCCTTGTTCAATATCATATCAAACGTGCGTATAGGGTTTACGGTGTTTTATTCTTTGAAAGTTTTTGATTGTTTGAATCATATTTACATAGGAAATTGACATATTTAGTGCAATACACCATATTCTAAACCTTTACACAAGTGTTAGAAGATCAAACGTAGCCATAACTGCAATTGCGTTAGTTCCGATGATGTACAATATTCAATGCATTTGGACTAATATTGCAGTTTCACATGAACAGGTTAATGAACGGCGATTTAATTCAACCTTATAACTAAAACTGATAATATTAATGAAAATGATTTATATATGGTATGAAATGTATATGCACACATATTTAAAGGAATTGTCTTGTTTTTTTGCACATTTGTGTGTCGGTTTATAGAGAAAACAATGATGTAAATTGATTGGCCAGGTGCGCATTTGTCGGAAACGTTTTATGATTCACTATCATTGTTTTCGATAATATAATCAATTCATATTCGATTTAAAAATATTGTGATGACAGGATATCAAACTCTAACTATATTTATACGAAAATTGTTTAAAAATATATAAACCATGTCATGTCTTAATTTGGACAAATCTTACATCCATATTCTAATAATATATAGTACGTACTAGTTCCATATATAAAAGCTATCTTTTGCATCTTCCATTGCATACTTATGAAGAGAAATAGCTACATAATCATAAACAAAGAAAATTCTTATCCTAAACAAAATATTCGGGTGTTGTGAAATGTTATTTTTCATTTACGTTAAATTGATGCCAAACAGGTGCGCGTGTTTCTCACAAAAAGATACACAGTCAAACTGTCTAATTGTTGATATATTCAGGACACTATTTAAATGGAAAATCAGTCATTTTATGTTTTGTCTAAAGAGTCTTAAATTCTGACATAGAAGCCGAGACCTTTCACACAATTAAAGGAAATTAGGTGAGATATGTACTAAACAGCATACCAATGTCGTCTTTTCCGACGTCGCAAAATGCATAAAACAAGCAATGACGTCAACTAAAATGGTGTATTATTTTCAGCAATTTCATTACATTTGAAGATATGGCTAGTACTCTGGTAATAACGATGCAAAATTAGTCAAAATACATCTACACAAACAGGACAATATGGGAATCTAAGAACTAACTTATATATCGGATAGGGCCATCCAAATCGCTATTACGTGCTTTCACATGTAATACGTTGTCATTTTTCTTGTAAATTGTGAAACTACCAAACTGCATCCGCTCACATTGGGGAACTTTGAATTGGGATAGTTTGGTTCACCATGAACATAAAATAACGAAAATATAGCGTCCGTATCCACAACAAATTCTCCAAGTGATCTGAGTTACATGGACCTAGTGTTACGCATAACGGAGTTATGCCCCCTTATCATTATATGTGTATGACCTCTCTGTCGTCGTTTGACGTCATAGAAGAAAATCCATTTTTGACATTTATTGCGAGTCATTTTTAATGTTGAGCGTATAACGTTATGCACAAGCACATAAACCCAATTCATATACACTTATGTCGTTCAGATATCAAGCTGTATTTTCTTCGCTAACACTTTCCGTAAAGATGCCACATTAAAAAATTCGTAGCACAGTGCTTTTATCGGTGCGCGATAAAAAGCGGATAAAATTACTGTTTTTTAACGCATAAAAAAAAATTGGACAACATTTAGCAGTGTCTATTTCTCAAACCGCCGAGGTAGTTGCACTTATATTTATACCAACGGATAGGAAATTTAATATTCTACATTTCTGTGTAATTTTATAGCCGTACGTAGATCCAGGACCACGCGAGCGCAATTCTCGCACAACGATCACTTTTCAAACCGTATGAAAATGTGCGCCTGAAAAAAAACTCGGCAGCCAGGGGGTTAAATAGTGGAATTTCCGCAAGTCATGTGATCTAGCTGCCGATCACGTGGTACAGGTCAAGCTTTGGGACAAAATGGCGGCTGTCAACCGTGCCCTTGAGTGAGCCTCGCCAAGTTCAAAGTGCAATATCGTCAATATGGGGGTAAAACGATGCGCTTATGGCACTTGTAATAGTGACTCACGTTTCTACCATAAACCACATATGGCAGATGTGTTTTTTATTACATTTCCAAAGCCCACATCAAAGCCGGAGATGTGTGACCGCTGGATCAGAGCGTGTTCCCGCGGTGATGATTTTGGCCGTCACAAGATCACCCAAGATACATATGTATGTTCCAAACACTTTGTTGATGGACATGGTCCTACAGGCGAACATCCTGACCCTATACCAGCTACCGCTAGAGGTGTGGAACTTAGAATCTTCAACACGAAGAAGTCAAGACCACCACCCAAAGGCCGTGTGAGCTTGTCGCCAGAGAAGAAAAAAAGTCGTTCACAACTCCAGGTATAGTTTGGGAATGAAATGAAATAAAATGAAAAGAAAAAAAAAAAAGGAAATAGATAAATGAACAAATAAATGACTAAATTTTTAATTATTTTTAAAAAACTCTCTTTATAATAATTTATGATGTTCATAAAATATTAATTAATGTGTTTTTTTGCAGGTACTCAATGTGAACATTGATAAGGAAAATGAAATAACTGAGGGTTCTGAAGAGCAAGATACAAATGTTGATAATGAAGGTATATCCATTGATTATATTACAGACAAGCTTTTAAATAGAATGTTTAGTTAATGAAATCCGGTTGGGTTTTTAGCAATCCTTATTGTCTGAAAAAGTTTCCAATTATAAAATTATAAGATGTCGTTTAGTGTATATTTTTGGACCATTTATCATCCACACAGTTTTGTTTTTTACAAAAATATTTTATTTTGCAGATGCAAGAAAACAGGTTTCCTGTTCTGATGCAGCTACTCAGACTGACATCTTGCATGATGATCTGGCTGGCTACAGTGATGATCAGCTCAAACAACCTAAACTTCTACAGAGAAAACTATTCATGGATGATGTTCTCAGAAGTGACAAATCATGCAAATTCTACACAGGTAAAAATATCTGTTTCAGATCTATAATAAAGACATTCATTTTATGTTTTATTTATTGATAATATATTTTGCATGATATAGACCTTAATGTGTGTTTTAAAATAGTTATTTGACCAATATTAATAATTATTTCAGGTATTACATCCATCCAGCTTCTGTTGTTCCTGCACAGATTCCTACAGTCCAAAGCTGAGAGGTTAACACTGTGGAAAGGGGAAGAAACAACAGTATGTATAGTTTATTGCTTTAATATTGCTTTTATTAATAACCACCTATATACTATCTCTTGACACATATATACTGTATGTAACTTGGTCACTGATCAATATGTCATTTGTTAACCCTTTCACAGGCAGTGCTGTAAAGTGCATCTGTTTACTAAATGGTCACTTGCAAATTATCATTGACTTCCTAGTACCAGTCATTGTGAAATATATTGATTAATGAACAGATCCACTTGACCATGTTAACTGATGCATAATTACTTTTCAGGAGAATGCCAAAAAACAAAGATGACCATCACCCCAGGGGGACTGTCCACCTTCACAGCTTTCCTCCTAACACTTGTGCGCCTGAGACGTGGCCTTGATGTCGACCATTTGAGTGATCTGTTTGGCATATCATCCTCGACAGTTAGCCGTTACTTCCGGACATACATTGAGTTTATATCAAGGGAGCTCAGTTTTGTTGTTAAGTGGCCAATCAGACTGCAGGTTCAAGCTCACCTCCCAAAGGCATTTAGATATTTTAAAAAGACTATTGCCATTATAGATTGTACAGAAGTTTTTGTACAGAAACCCTCATTGCCATCTAGTCAGAGAGTGACCTGGTCACAGTACAAACATCACAATACCTTTAAATGTCTGGTTGCTATTTCCCCAACAGGTGCATTTACTTACATCTCTCCACTGTGGTCTGGTTCAGTGTCAGATAGGCGCATTGTTAAAGAATCAGGTTTCCTTGATAACTTAAACTATGGTGATGACATAATGGCTGACAGGGTTTTTTGATTAGGGATCTCTTAGCATTAAGAGGATGTACATTAAACATACCACCTTTTGCGCATGGTAAGCAGTTAAGCAAAGCAGCTGTTAAGAAAACCAGGAGAATAGCCCATGCTCGAATACATGTTGAAAGGGCAATTGGTCGCCTCAAGAACTTTAAATTTTTACAAGGTATTTTTCCACTGAAATCCAAGAAGCTTATTAATCAAAGTGTACAAGTTTGTGCTCAGTTATGCAATTTTGACAAACCACTTGTAAAGTAACTGTTGTTATTAGAATATTGCCATATTCATGACCAATGACTTTCATGATTCTGTTGTCATGAACATATTGAAATGTTTTGAGCTTTTTTGACAGAGATGTCTCCCATGTATTTAACATATATTTGGGATTACGCTCTCTTAGTAAAGTACAGGTTCTAGTACTTTTGTTTGGGTTGAGTCCCATCTGGGATTTGAACCCACACCGTCAAATACTCAGGCACCTAATTGCCAGCTGCCTAACCCTCTCAGCCACCACAACTTCCATGTATTGTTGAACATGGCCTAGTGTTCTTAGTGTGAACTGATCTCAAGGAAGTTTGAGTAAAGTTTTAAAAAATAAAAAGATAACAAAGCCTTAATAAATTTTGTAATTGTATTTCATTTGAAATAACTGCTTCTCCTTAACATGTCTCTAACCAACATGTCTAACAATTTATTATCAAAAACACTAACATAGAATGTCATGATGCATTGATGAGTAAGATGCAAGCATGATATGGGACAATATGATCAAGAAAACACTGTACTTGTGTACTATGAGGCCACTTGTACTGTACTGTACCACTGAGTTAAAATCTGTAAACATGTAACACTCATATACATGCTTAGTTTGACCATTTTGCATATTTGGGAAAAGCATGATGTTACAGTGAGTGACAAAGGAAACACTGTACTTGTGTACAATGAAACTATTTGTACTGTACTGTGTACTACCGAGGTAAAATCTGTAAACATGTAACACTTCATATACATGCTTAGTTTTTGACCGTTTTTTACATATATGTGAACAGCATGTTATTTGACAGTGAGATCAAAGAAACACTGTACTAGCATACTAAGAAGCTACCTGTACTGTACTACTGAGGTAAAGTCTGTCAACATAATTCTGGGAATAAAAACATGAAAAAAAAAAAAGAAAAAAAAGAACTAAGCAGAAAAGTGATCAATGAATTCACACATGCTTAAATAATTCTGGAATAACATAATTCACATAGAAATAATTCAAGTTTTGAAGCATCCTATGGAAAAAGTCCTCATTGAACTGAACAGGTATCACCAAAATTCCAGATCTTGTATAAAGTACAAGATCACACACTCTTAGACCATATATCCCCATCAGACCTTGGATCTGGGGATAGTAGTCACAACGCTCAGTAACTGTCCGGACACCATCTTTATTTTCACACCCCACAGTTGCACAAGCAGCCTCCTTGGGGGACTTATCTCTAAAACTGTAGGGACACTTTATTTCCATAAGCTTATGTCCATGGCATTTACATGAGACAATACCATCTGCAGATCCAGCAATGTGAGGCATAGCTTGAGAAAGTCGCAACCCTGGTACAGTCACACTGAGATTCCTGTGTTGTTTCTTCTCTATGGCAATGTAAGCCCTCCTTGCCGCAGTCTCCTTCTTCCTACCCCACACTACAGCAGGCTGAGTATCAAGGTCAGAAGCATTTCTGCCTAGTACACAGTCTACAGCTTTACTGGGATCAGCAGCAGGATCTGATCTCAGAGTACTGGCACGAGTGTTAATCCGCTTGAAGAGTGAAGCTGTTATGATACCCTTTCTAATGTGATGCCAGTTTTCATTTGAGCTTTGTCCACAGGTTTTCGCCTCTATGTAATCTATGTCATCTGCTGTGTAGATAAGTTTCCTCATGACATCAGCTGGATCAGAATTACTCATTGCCAGTTCTTGTGCCCTGCTGACTATGGACAGCTGTCTGATTCTTCTGTCCACCCCATGCTCCCCTTGTCCAATCTCAGGGAGGTTAGTCTTGTCTGAGAGCAGCTGAAGAGCAACTGCGACAGGGGCAACCTACAAATTTGGGGAAAATTTTATGAAATAAACTTGCTTGGTGTTACAAGTGAAAAAAGTAGGCACTTCTTAAGTTTAATTCAACCATCATTGCTTTCAGTTTACTAGATCTCATTTAATAATATTCACCTCTGTCAATTCATCAATAAACTGTTTTGCTGCCTCCTGTGACAAACTCTGTCTGTCTCCAGGGTGTCTGGGGTCGAACTCCACCTCTCCCACTTCCTGTTTCTCCTTACCATAACTGAAAAAAAATTCTTTTGATTTTATTTGACTGAAATTAATTAAAGACAGCTAGCTCTCAAATCAGAACTTGCACCTCGTTATAAAATTGAAACATTTGGAAGGAAATCCTTTTGCTTTCCCTCTACTGTGGAACTCCCACCCTTTGGCCATAAAATCAGCAGTTGACTTTACCCCATTCAAACGTTGGCAGATGACCCACCTGATTTCTTCTCATTAAAACTAACTATATTTCCTTCACTTATACATTTCAGTATATAATTGTACCATGTCAGCGCTTTGAGCATGATTCTTGTACATGGAAAGGGTACATTACAAATGCACATTTTTTTATCATTATATAATGTAAGTTTAGAATAAACATTAAGTACCCATTGAGAATATGTGGAGTTAACAGATTAGTTATTATTAATTACCACACACCCAACAGTTTCAATCCTAAGCTTCTTTATAGGCACAGCTTCAGTCTGGCTCAAGGCTCTCCTCTTCCACAGACAGGGACCAGATGTCACGGATGGCTTTTCAAAATCCTCAAGCGCATACAGGCTTGCTGCTATGTGTCGACAAGCCCCATCAGCACTGAAATATGAACACAAAATGATAAAGAAATTGAATGATATATTATATTAACACTGAAGTGTTTAAATGCCAATATATTAACATTTTATAAACGAGATATAAAATCAATTACAATTTTCTTTGAATAAAGGTTGCATTAAATAAATATTTCAAATACATGTATTGAAAATATATTCAGTGGTGGATAATTGTACTGAACATGCATTAAAACTTACCCGCCAGGACATTCACAAAATGCCAGTTTGATCACTGCTGTTGATTTTTCCATGAGGAACCACATATCATATGTTGGCTTTCCAAGATAGGAAGAATCCTTCTGTGTTGGTTTCACCTTTGACTTGAATGCACAAAGGTTACTGGCATCACTAATGTCACAATATTGGAGGTCTAACACATGACCATCATAAAACAAACGATAGTCCTCAAAAGACTTGAAAGCCTTCAATTTCCTCCTATCATAATCAGATCTATGAAATAACAGGTAGTTGAAGATATCATACAAGCCAAAGTCTGGGATGAGGCTGAAGTCAGATGTGTAAGTAAGAGCAAATGGATCATCAAAATCACAGTGTAAGTCCGTGAGACACTGCTTCATAAACGTTTCTGGTCGACAGTCATGTTGAAAATCAGGATCAGGCTCCAATTCAAGTTTGACAACTGCATTGGCTAAAGCTATGAGAACGTCTTTTCTGTGACCTGTAGTTGTTATTCCGTACTTTTTCAAATAATCTTTAAGTTCTGGGACTTTCAATTTCTCCATGGTAATTAATCATAACTTATATAAACTGCGTATTATGACATGGACCTGTCATCGGAGACGTGCCGACTACCAGATCTACATTCTAATTGCTCAGCCGAATTATGCAGCCTCAGAGAAATATTATATACACTAAAGGGACAAATTATATACAAGAACTATTTAGAACAAGTATTTCATTCACTAAATTCGATAAACTGCGAATAAATGTTACAACAAACGTGATCAGTATCTACAACGATGCTTGACAGACGCCATTTTGTACGAAAGCTTGACCTGGTCACGTGATCGCGTCATTAGTCACGTTACCACCGGAAAATGGTCTATTGTGACGTAATGTAAAATGGTTCGATTACGAGGGGGCACACTAGAATGGCGCAGTGACGGGAAAACGTCATTCAATTGTTACGTCATTAAAAAACTACACCTTTATTGTCTGATAATGTTGTTTTTTTCGATTGTTCTAACCGCTAGGCATCTTAGAAAGTCTAATAATGACACTCTGAGGCACATTAAAGTGTCTGGCGACTTGTTGACTTTGTCCTGTTTGAAGCATCCCTATTGCTTGGCCTCGTTCTTCAACACTCTGAAAGCGCCTCATTTTGAAAGCATGCTGTGAGATCTAAAGTGTAAAGACCGATGTCATTTGAAAACTGTCATTACACACTTTCCACGTACACTAACACATCACTGAAAGTGTTCGCGTGAGCGGTTTTTAAGCACTGTTAAGAACACACCAAATTTCAGGAAAATTAATCTTCATTCAAATATTCCTTTTGGGATTGTGAACTAACCAGCCTTGGAGAGACAAGTGCATGCGACAAAATGCGAGTGCAATGTTAGTGAGTGAGTTTAGTTTTACGCCGCACTCAGCGATATTCCATCTATATGGCGGCAGTCGGTAACTAATCGAGTCTGCACCAGACAATCCAATGATCAACAGCATGATCTGCGCAACTGGTAACCGATCATATGTATCAACCAAGTCAGCGAGCCTGACCACTCGATCCCGTTAGTCGCCTCTTACGACAAGCATGGATTGCTGAAGATCCATATTCTAACCCGGATCTTCACGGGTTTTAGTGCAATGTTAATCGATGGCTAGTTGACTACAATACCATTATCAACATTAACGACAATTGCTGGAAATCAATTATCAAAATATATAGGTGACCCTTGACTAATGTCGTTCAGTAATTTACATTTATCTGCCTAACAGTATTATGACAAGGGAGTAACTACCCTCAGTGTCCTTGACAGTATAAAATTGTAGATGCTGATCTTATTTTGTTATCTGAAGTTTTGAAAGCCAGGTGAGCTACAGAGCGCCATGACAGCAAATTGTACATACATCGAAGTAGACAGCGAAGACGGCATTCCTTCAAGGTTCAGCCTTGGAGTCACCAACAAGACAGTGCCTCTGTGAAATGTTCAACCTTGGAGTCACCAACAAGACAGTGCCAGCTGTGAAATGTTCAACCTTGGAGTCACCAACAAGACAGTGCCAGCTGTGAAATGTTCAACCTTGGAGTCACCAACAAGACAGTGCTTGCTGTGTAATGTTCAACCTTGGAGTCACCAACAAGACAGTGCCTCTGTGAAATGTTCAACCTTGGAGTCACCAACAAGACAGTGCCTGCTGTGAAATGCCAGATGTACATAATCACACGTCTTGTTGGGATTAAAGCTTGACTTGGTCGATGATTATACATTATGACTGCAATGTCATGCATTGCTTGGGTGGTTTATTTGTAATTGTAAACTTGACGGTCGTAGGAGCTCTGTACCATGCAAGTCATTAACATGAGCTTCATGATCCAAGATCAGAGAGATCATCACTGATCTCCTTAGCCATGTCTTGCATAGGTTGCTGAAGACCTGTTCGTTTTGTTTATTTCATGTTTAACGCTCAACTCATGTCTGTAAATAATCCAATCTGGACCAGACAATGCAGTGACTGACAGCATGAGCATCGATCTGCGCAAGTGGGATTTGGTGGCATCTGTCAACCAAGTCCGCGAGCCTAACCAAGAGCCTTTTAGACAAGCATGGGTTGTTGAATATCATTTCCAGCGGGTGATGACCTGTTCTAACCCTGATCACTCGTAAAGGTCTGCGTTAGAATTGGTCTTCAGTAACCCAATCATGCTTGTCATAAGAGGCGACTAATGGGAACGGGTAGTCAGACTCGTCGACTTGGTTGACACATGTTATCGTATCCCAATTGCGTAGATCGATGCCCATCATGTGAATCCTCACTATCTTAGATTGCTCACTCCTATTTTTTATAATAGTTATTAAAAGAGAATCTTAAAAGCACTATGATTATATTACTTTAAAACTGTCGAAAAATTCAATTTTATGAATGTTATTTCATAAACAATTCTTATATTTTTTACATGCTGAGTCAAAGTACTACATATTTCATTTGTCGTCACGAATATTCTGTAAACAGTCCCACGTACCGGATTGGGGATTGGCAGTCCTATACAAAGCTTTGCTTGTTTGTC